AGACATATCTGAGATCCTGGGAGATGCTCCCTTGGAACTTGGGCACAATCTTGTGAAGACTTTCACAAATGCCGAGATAACTGAGATGTAGTATAGGAGGTGAGGAGGAAGACTTGGGACAGGTGTGTCTGAGAGGCGCCTTGGACCTTGTCAGGCATGCAGGGGTCAGACAAGATCATCTCAAGAGAGGGGCCATTATGTAGCAGTGTGGATCATCTCAAGAGAGGGGCCATTATGTAGCCGTGTGGTACAGACCCTAGGGACCTCTCTAGCAACTGCCTGGCTGCATATGGAAAGGAGGGGCCCAGGCAGGCCACACATTGTCTCCACCTGTTTTTAATGGGACACTGTTGTGGGGTTTTTTTTGTTGTTGTTGTTATTGTTATTTTGCTGCTTGTTTTTTGTTTTTGTTTTTGTTTTTTTGAGACAGGGTCTCCCTATGTAAGTGAGGCTGGCCTTGAAACTTACTATGCTGTCCAGGTTGGCCTCAAAATCATGGTGACCTTTCTGCCTTAGCTTCCCAAATGTTAGGATTAAAGGAGTGTGCCACCATGCCCAGCCCGATACTCTCATTTTTTGCTAACTGGTAACTGAACTTTTCAAAGAACCCAGCATGTGATCACCATGAAATAAGCAAACAGCTGCATCTATGGGCCACCTAAACTCAGCTTTTGCCCAAACCAGGAGTATTTTTTATGTAGCTTTCTGAAAGAGTTCCAAAACTGCTGGGCATGGTGGCACACACCTGTTGTCCTAGCACTCAAGAGGCTAAGGCAGCAGGATCACTGTGAGTTCAAGGCCAGCCTGCACTTAAGTGCAAAACCCTGTTTTTGGTTTTAATTTTTTTCCTTACAGACAGGGTTTCATTAAGTCACTAAGTTGCCTCATAGGCTTGAATTTGTAATCATCCTGCCACAGTCTCCCAGAGTTCAAGGATTACAGGTATATACCACCACACTTTTTTTTTTTTTTTTAAACAATACTTGAGATTAATCCAAGGCCCTTTGCACTGAGCTACATGCTGAGCCTATTTTTTGTTTTTTAGAGACAGGATTTCATTAAGGCATTAAATTGCCCAAGCTAGGTATGAATTTGTGGTCCTCCTGCCTCAGCCTCTAAGTGTGCTAAAAATAATAGGTTTGTATCACTGCACCCACCTGAGCAGGCTCCCTGGAGGAAAGTCTGCCTGGAGGAGAATCTGGTCATCTGCATCCAATAGATCTTTGCCCAGCCTGGGCTGCAGGAAGCAGTCCAATGGATGGAAAGGAGATGTTGAGGGTCAGAGTGAGAAGTTTGTCAGTGGTCAGTGGTCAGGCCAGGCTCCTGCTTGGAGTAGCTGAGGCAGCATGGCTAAATGGCACCTGAACCCTACATAAGAGCTCAGTCATAGATGCTGAGCCTTATGTGTGCTGGTCTGTGTTCTGTGTATTTGTTAAATGAATGAACAAATTAACTGAATTAATGAATTAACTAGTTAATAATTCACAGGCATTACTTTCTCTTATTTTTTGTCTTTTTTATCGGTACCGGGGATCGAACTCACGGCCGCACACTTGCAAGGCAGGCGCTTATGCCGCTGAGCTAAATCCCCAGCCCCACACAGGCATTACTTTCACAAAAATCTTCAGTCACTCCCTAGAGCTGCTGTTGCAGGACAGTGGTGTTTGCCTCTGGCATGTTTTGGGGTCAGGCTCAGGCCTGTTCTTTTCCCCCTTCAGGACCTACACAGAGGACCCCAAGGAATCCATCAGGCAATGTGAGCTGCTCCTGGAGGAGACAGACCTGGACAGCACCATCCGCATTGGGGATGTCTACGGCTTCTTAGTGGAGCGCTATGTGCAGATGGAGGAGTACCAGATGGTGAGAACACTACTGTCCTGGAGCCTCAGTCCCTGTGCCTGAAGGCTCAAACTTGGGTGTCATCAAAGATAATCAGCTACTGTTTTCTTTGATGTTACAGATTCACTTTGTTCTTGAGTGTCTTCCACGTGACTAGTTTATCCTGTAATCATTTTTACAAAAAAAATATTCCACATGAAAGCTGCACCAGTGTTCATCACTGGTGTGCCACATACATTTATGTGATGGTTTTTTCTTAGCCATCCTAGTGAGAGTGTAGTGGTATCACACTGTGGTATTTTGAGGCCTCATGCATTCTAGGCAATGTTCTCCCACTGAGCTATACCTATAGCCCTTTAACATAAGACAGAATTTTCTAAGATGTCCAAGCTGATCTCAGACTTGCCTCAGTTTCCCATGTAGCTGAGATTACAGGTGTGCAACACCTCATTGTGGTTTAAATTTCTACTTAATTGATGACTTACTTGAGCATCTTCTGATGTGCTTAACATCCATATCTTCTTTTGTGAAGTATTCAAACCTTTCCATCATTTTGGGTTTTTTTTACATTGTAGATGCATTTCTTTTACCAAATACATGATTGTAAACATATTTTCCTAGACTATGGGGAAGTCTGCTTCTGTTCCTTCTGTTTCTCCAGGAATCACAGCTACTTTGTATCTGGTGTCCCCTAGCTCAACTTCCCTTTCACCCACTATTTTATTTTTCATGTTGGGTAGTTTCATATTCCATTTTTTCAAATTTGCACTCTTTTCTTCCACACTGTTTATGCTGATGTTAATCCCACCCAATTCTTCACTTCAGACTTTATAATTTTCATCTCTCATCTGATTTGGGATTTTTCCAATTGAGGAGATACACAAGCTGGACCCAGCTGTGTTCAAATGTGTACAGGCCTTTCCAACCAGAAGTGTTTTTCTCTCAGTCAGTTCACTCTTCTCCCCTTCCTAGTGTTGGGCCTCCTTGAGTTCTGCGGCCAGAAAGACCTCAGGCCCTCCCCAGCTTCTGCTGCACTTGGCCCACCCTATCCTGAGCTCCTTTGACCTGTGTCTCCTTTGACACCTGGCAGTGTTAGCAGCCTATAAAAGGTCCAGGGAACAGTGTGAGATTTGTGCAGGCTCACTTAGCTGTCTTACCAACCCTGGCAAAAATCTCTGAAGATGGTTTGATGGCTCAATATTGTCAAATATCTGCCATCTTTAGTGATACCTGTCCAAAACAAAATTGTTCTAAGAGTTTTACCATCCTTAAGAAATACTAAGATCCAACAATTATTCCTAAAAAAAAATTTTTTTAAGATGCTTAAAATTTAGGTCACATTCTGCTGGGTGTGGTGGCACATTCCCGTAAACCCAGCAGTTGAGACGCTGAGGCAGGAGAATCGTTGCGAGTTCATGACCAGCCTGGGCAACAAAGTGAGCTCAAGGCGAGCCTGAACCGCATAATGAGATCAAAAAGACCAAAAAAAAAAAAAAAAAAAAAAATAGGTCACATTCTAAATTTTTAGGTCCCATTTGTGTGTGATCCTCCTTGAGGATGGAAACCAGTCCCATCCTGCCTCAGGACCCTCTTTGAGCTGCTCTGAACATCACCCCTGAGCCCTCCCATGTAGTCCCACTGGCAAAAAGAGAAAATCTCACAGTATAACCATTTATGGTTCCATAGTTTACTGGCCTCAGATCAAGAGCCATTCATAGGGGCTGGGGATTTAGCTCAGCGGCATAAGCGGCGTCGTGAGTTCGATCCCTGGTACCAATAAAAATGAAAAAGACAAAAAAAAAAAAAAAAAGAGCCATTCATAAACTTGATGCTTGATTAAAATAACCAAGACAAACCATTACTACCATTGCTTGCGCTCCATTCTAACAAGCCCATGCTCAGACCAGAGAAAAACACAAAACTCACTTTTCCCTTAGTAGATCTCTGTGCAAGTCAAAGGTGAGCAGGTTCTAGAAAGAACATGGCCCTAGGACTCAAGCCAGGGGCTTGGCTACTGGCTGCCAAAAGATTCTCAAGGGATCCAGTGTTAGGCGCTCATATTGATCTCAGCTTAGTGTTAACCATTCAGAATCTGAAACATGCTATCCTGGGATACCAGTCCCCTTATAAATACCAAGACCTCAGACCACTGAACCCATGAGCCCTTTAGAAGGAAAGCATATTTCTTGCTTTCCTGAAGTGGAGAGCTGGGTACTTCACGTTTAGGAAACTAGGTTAAGATGAACAAAAATGATGGCACCATGTGGTTGTCATGTCTGCTGGACCCCCCCACACACACAAGTAACCATTGTCACCTCTGCCCTAGGCCTACCGGTACCTAGAAGAGATGCGGAAGAAACTCCCTTCTGCCAACATGTCATATTACATGGATCAGCGGACCATGGACACCGTGTACCGGGCCCTGGGCCTCCCTCTGACACGCATGTTGCCTGAGCAGACCTGCCACAACAGCACAGAGGACCAGGACGAGGTGGTGGAAGAGGTAGACAATGACCCCTGAGCGACTTGAGCTCTGGCTACCTGCTCTGTGTCCTGTTGCTGCTGGGAAAGCTGCGTCTAGAGTGTTCCGAGCACCAGTAGTAGCAGAGGCAGTCATTTTGTTAAAAACCTCCATTTCTGTATTGTTACATTTAAACAGGACTAGAGAAACAGAAGGGAGTACTGTCTCCACATCACCATCTACAAAAGAAGACTACCCTGTATTATAAACCATCCCTCCAGTACTCCTGCCTCTGGCAGCTGAGTGGCTTCCATGGATTTCTATTTCAGTTCTTTTGAGGGGCCTTGGATTCATCTTTCCCACATTTTCCCCAGTTACAGACTATAGGGCCTTAAGAAAATTCTAGAACTTCACAAACGATGTTGTACCCAGGGGCTTGGTGACACCTATTACTGCTAATTAAATATGAGGCTACTTGACAGTTCCTAGCAGGGACCACTATAGCCAGGCCCAAACCTTGACAGCTGTGGCCTTTGGTCACGAGAATGGGGAACAAGGACACCAAGTCCCACCTATTGGCTGCTGACACTCCTGTGTAATTCCAATAAAGCCTATTTTCTGAGACCTGTGTCCTTCCCCACCACACCTGAGTCCATGTAAAAGCTGAGCCCTCCACCCAGTGAGAACCACAAAGCAGGGCTACATGACACTTCTGTCCTATTTATTCTCCTAGGGACCCAATGATGAGAAGCCCACAAGAAGGCCAAGCCTGCTCTGCTGGTCTGGCACCAATGTATGAGGGTATTGAGGGCTCTGAACAACTTGCCCCTCCTCTCCATTCTGGAGCTCCCACTGGCTCTACTCTTGGGAGGAGGTTTTCTCAGCCTGGTACCCCTAGCCCAGCTCCAGTTCAGCATTCTGGCTACCCCATCCTGTGGCAGGCAGTGTGAGGCCTTGCCAGGCTATGGGCAGCTCTAGGAGTAGAGTACAGGTCTTTCTGCATGTGCACACAGTACCCCATCACTCTCCAGAGCTGGCTATGTTGCATAGCCCAAAGGCTACCCCAGTTCCACTCTTTGGACCCTCTATCTTTCTCATGGCAGTGATCCATCTGGATCTTGGATAGTGGGAAACCCTGAGGGCTAATGAGTGAGGGGAAGAAACTTGTCCTTGAGTCTCTCCAGAAGCAGCAGAGTCCTCACTGCCTGCTTCCTGCAGTCCTCATCCACATCCTTCTCAGCAACATCTGCCAAGGTAAGAATAAGAAGCAAAAGAGTAGTGCTGCAGGTATTCTGTGTCACCTATCCTTTCACTATGGCCGATGTGGTTTTTCACTCACACCTAGCAAAGGGCTCTACTGTGTCCCTACATGGGTCTTGTGTTTGGCCAGGTGATATAGATGCCTCCATCCGGAGGGAGGAACCCAGCAATGGGCAGGTCACATGGCCAACCTACAAGTCTGCTGGTGAAGTTGGTGCTGGTGACTCCACCAATCAAGCCTCAGATAAGCACATGAAAGAGGGGCCAGGGCCATGCAAGAGCTTGGAACTCTCCCTCTAGCACCTCCTCTGCAGGCTGTGGTCACAGAGGCAAAGCCCTAAGGATCTCACAAGGGCCCACATACCACCCAGCAGTCATACATTAACCACCTGGCTTCCAAAGGCCAGATGAAAAGAGGTCTTGGGGTTCAGAATCACAATCTGCCCCATGGCTCTTGGGATGGAACTGCCATTCAAGGGCCCTCATCATGGTCTCAGTCCTGGAATCCTGGAGAGCCACCAGGAAGCTCCACTGGGACAATTACTTCCCAAAATCAGAATGAAACTGCAGTTAAAGCAAGACCTTTTCAGAATGATCATTTGTACCCAGGTGGTGCCCTGACCCTGGGTCTTCAGGTCTAAAATCCTATCCATGGGGTTCCCACATTAATCATGGGGGTGAAAAGTGGGCCATCCATAGGCCTAAGTCAAGAACTTAAGAGGGAAGGGTTATAGTGTCTACAACTGACTTTAAAAAAGTCCCTTGTCTTTGGGCAAGGGACAAGACATGGCAAAACACTGTACTGGTGAATTAAGTTCCTGGCATTCTATCCACATCACTTTTCTGGGTGTGAGATTCACCTGTGAGACCCCTGAAGGATTCCCCAAAGCACCCAAGACAGTGATGCCACCACACAAACACACTATACAGGCCATCATACTCCTCAGCACAAGCAAGAGAGGCACACCCATTCAGACTAGTTGGCCCACACCTGGGCTGCTCTAGCCACTTCACATACCCTGATGACCTGCACCTGCTGACACAGCCTGGGGCAACACTCACCTGCCAGCCAGGATCTGGCTTCCAGCAGCTCATCAGAGAGGTCTGCCAGCAGTCGATCGGCAGGTACACTGAGGAGGATGGAAGATACTGCAGACAGCAGGCCCCTGCGCACATAGCTACCAAGCAAGAAATGGGAAAAGTGAGGTGCAGCTTTGGGGATGGAGCTGCAAACTAGCACTGTTGGAGCCACAGGAACAGCACCATAGATCAAAAAGACCCACCACCCCTCAAAGTCCAGCAGACCGACCAGCATAGGAATGTGTGTACCCCTGGCCACTGAGCCCGCTTTAGAAAGGACGAGGCCAAGCTGCCCTGGAGATCCCACCCTTACCCCTGCAGGCCACTCACATGTCAACATGGAACCTCAGGGCCCACACAAACTCCAGCAAGGCCTTGCCCATGGACACAGCCACCTGAAAATCAGCAGATAGGTAGGCAACATGTCCACCATGCTTGTTACCCACACCTGGCACCCAACAGTTAGGCTTCTGAGGCTTGGTTGCCATAGGGCTTGGGCTTATCTGAGGTAAGGGTAGTGTTTGATGTCCTGTGGGGAATCCCACAAGTCTGTCATTAGGGCCCAGGTAAGAGGAGGACAAGCTCTGGGTATGTAGTGCTTTATGCCTATGACCTTGGTCATTCCCCACCTCACCCCCCACTAAAACTGGCCACACCAAGCTCAAGCCCTATTGTATGAACACTCAAGGAAGGGCCTTAAGAAAATTCTAGAACTTCACTTCTGTGAATGCAACATGGCAGGCCTTCAGCTCCCACATCCCAACTCACTGTGGTATTAACAGCCAGGTACATCAAAGCTCCCAAAGTATGAATCAGTCTTCCAAGAACCAACTGGTCCTCTCCCAAGAGATCAAAGGTCACTAGAGGCCTACAATACAGAATAAGGAAACACTGTAGCCCTGGTACCTCAGGGCTGGCTACCTAACCTCTCAAGCTTCCAAGGGAGACCCTAGGGCTCTGGAAGCCCTCCTGTAGTCACTACCTTGGCCCCAAACTGCACCAGGAGGGCCACAAAGAGTAGGCTTTTGGACCTTTCTCCACCATGGCCTGCCAGCAGGAGAACCCAGCTCTGCCTTCCCAGGTAGGAGGGAGGTGAACCACTGGGAGCACACGGGTCGCAGCACTGACTGCCACTCATGGCAAACCCAAAATCTAGGAATGCAGACAGACTAAGGCCCCTCCACAAAGCTCAATGACAAAGGGAAAATTCCAGAAAAGTTTATATCATTTAACTTAAGCTTTATAAATAATACATTTCTGCCCAGAATCCCACCTCACATCCTGCAATTCCACCTATCCATAGTTATGGACTCAACTCATCCTGAAATTCCAGAAATACTCTTACCTGTCGAAGTGTTGAATGAGGGGGAAGAAAAAGTAGCCAGCCACAGAGTTGAATTCATTGGGGCCACTTGCCAGCTCCTGCCGGGGAAAGCCCTGCCAAACACACATATACATGCACTCAAAGGTTTGAGGCCCCACATACCCTTTGCAGGTCAAAGCTGCATAGGACAGAACTTATGCAGGCTCCCCAATCTTGTGCTCCATGGCCCTAAGCTAAGGGTATTAGGACTCAGGCTGCTGCAACCAGAAAGCTGCTTTGGGCCTGGAACAGGGACTCCAGATCCTGTTCATGTAACATTCAGTATGGACAGTCCTCATGGTAGGCTGTCCTGGGTGCTGTGGGATGCTGAGCAGCCTCTTGGGCTCTGCCCCATTCCCACGGCCAAACAGTCTCCAGATACTTCCTGACATCACAGGATAGGGCAAGACCACCATAATTTCCAGGTATGGTGGTACAAGCCTGTAACTCTAGCACTAGGGAGGCTGAGGCAGGAGGTTTGCCACAAGTTTGAAGCCAGCCTGGGCTCCAAAGTGAGTTGAAGGCCAGCCCAACTACACAGCAAGACCCTGTCTCAAAAAAAAAAAAAAAAAAAAAAGACTACTATGATTGAGCACCTTTGGCTACCCACCAGCTCATCAGTTTCTGACCTATCACTCCTGGGACCTTTTCCCTTCCGTGCTCATTTTAAACCACAATAGTCTAACTAGTCTGTTTGCACCATAAACGCTCAAAGAACCAACAATGGCACCATCCCTAAATTTCTTTTTTTTCTTTTTTTTTTTTTTTTTTTTTTGTCTTTTTCCTTTTTATCCGTACCGGGGATCGAACTCACGACTGCCTGCTTTCAAGGCATGGCTTATGCTGCTGAGCTAAACCCCCAGCCCCACCATCCCTAAATTTCAATCCAGCCACCATCTCAGTGTAGACATCGCCTGTAGGATGTCTACCACCCCATGTCCTGACACCTGCAGTAATGTGAACAGACTCCCAGCTGACCTTGGAAAACCGCCGGGTCTTGCTTCTGATTCTCTCTTCCACAACTGCTCGCCAGCCAGAACCTGTACTGTGGTCAGGCTGACAGGAAGCCAGGGCTGGCAAGCGCTGGCTTCCAGAACCACAGGACACCTGCTGAGGATCCCTTTTAAGATGCCCTGGCCGAGATAGCTCCTGGGCTGCCAGTGTCAGGACCTAGAGGAGAGGAAGGACCCAGGGCAGTGCCACATCTCTGAGAATTATCTGAAAAGTTATCAGCCAAGTGATCACAGAACCCCCACATCAACAGCAGTGCCCAGCATCCTAAAACACTGCCAAGTGTCCCTGAAGCTCTGTATTCTACTGAGCAGGTAGGCTAGGAGCTTCTTCAAGAATAGTGCACCATTTTTCCTAAAGCTCACCCAGTTCTGAAAACCAGAACCTCCCAAAAACTCAGCTCCTCCTCCCAAGAACTCAGCTTCACATAAAAACAAATGAGGCACATGCTCCATGTGGAAGAACTTAAATACCTGAGAGCAGCAAGTTCAAGACCAGACTGTGCTACAAAGTAAGCTCAAGACCAGCTTGAACTGCATAGTGAGATCCTGTCTCAAAAAGACACACAAAGACAGCAAAGGAAGCCAGTCACAAAGAGTCACATAGCATAGGACTTCAGTTATATGGAATATTCAGAACAGTCAAGTCCATAAACACAAAACAGCATGGTGGGTGACAGACTAGGGAGACAAGAGAATGAGGGTATTGAGATATTGCTGGAAGGATGGCAATACTGCAAAACTAGGGTAGCCTCAGGAGTGGTGGCACATGCTTATGATCCCAACATCTGGGAGGCTGAGGCAAGAGGATCATGAGTTCAAGGCCAGACTAGGCTACAAGACTAGCTTGAACTACAAAACAGGACCATGTCTTAAAAGCCCAAAAACAAACTAGACAGAGAAGTGGTACACAACATTGTCAATGTGCTGACCATCACTGGATTGTTTACTGTGAGGTGGTACATTCTTGGCGTTTTCTTAAGTAGTAAAACATAAAATTTACAACTTTTTTTTTTGAAGACAGGGTCTCGCTACGTAGCTCAGGCTGGCCTTGAATTCATGACCATCTTCCTACATGCTGGGATTACAGGCATGCATAACCATGCACAGCCATTTGAATCATTCTTCAGTATACTGCTCAGTGGCATTAAGCACATTCAAGAGCATTTATCACCATCTATCTATAGAACTTTTCTGTCTTCTCATGTGGAAACTCACTAAACACTGACCCCAGGCCCTCGAAACCATCCTTCTGCCTGGCAACCCTGGATAGTTCACAAATGTGCATCACACCATGTCCTGACGCACTAGCTTTTAACATGTTGAGGTTCATCCATGTAACGTGTCAGACTTTTACTCATTTTTATAACTGGATAATGTTCAGGTATGGACATCTATATGGAGATCTTTTTGTTTTTTGTTTTTGAGACAAGATCTCACTATGTAACCCAGGCTACCCTCAAACTTGAAATGCTGGGATTACAGGTATATGCCACCACACCTGGCTTGCATATCTTTAAATGGTGAATTTTACAGTGAATAAAATACATTAATAAAACATTTAAAATGAAGAACTCAGTAACTGGAGACCTAGTCCCTGCACTGGAGAACATGAGCTCTGCTCTCAAGCTGCTGAGGACTCCAACTCCACAACAAAGAAGCATGAGAAGGGCTTTAGTTACTGTCCCTGAAGATTCTTTTTTTTTTTTTTTTTTTTTTAAGGCAGTGAGGTTTTAAATTTATTTATTTACTTACTTATTTATTTTTGGTGCTGGGAATCACTCAGGACCTGTGCTTGCCTAGGCAGGTGCTTTTCCACCGAGCTAAATGCCTGGCTCTCCATGGAGATTCTTGACCACCACCACTTAAGCCTCCAACCATAACTGAGGGTACCACATCCACATCCTTTACTTTCTACAGTAATTTTTTACTTCAGCATAATAGTAGCGAGCTGTGCATCTTACTACCTTTCCCCAAGGGACACAGGAAGCAATCTTTGTGTTTACCCACTTGATATGAAGAAAGGCAAAGTGTGTGCATGTGTGCAAAAGTGTCAAACCAAGATTTACACCTATATTATCCTCTGTGGAACAATTTTTAAATGTTTACCTGAGCATCAGGGTCCAACAGACCCACAGAACTCCAGGATTTGCTAAGGTAGCTTGGGCCTGACAGGGGCCCAGGGCACTTACATCCAAGATATCCATGCGCTGCCGCAGACTGTAGTTCAGAGCATAGAACTGTGAGGTCAAATACTCCGCCACCTGAGCACAGCAAAGGAGAGGCTACTTGGACCTGGACCCCAGATGTCCTCCAGGTACCACACAGCCAACCCAGGCACAAAAGTAGGACATCTGCACTGGGACTCACGTGGGCTGGGTCCATGACTGTGACGGCCACCAAGGCTCTTTGGCGCAGTCCCTCAAATCCTGACACACAGGTCCTCTCCTCCAGGTGCAGCAGTACCTTGGCCAGCTCCACACTTACCTGTACTCAGGAGTCAAGGATCAGAGTACCCTCAGGCTCTGGCCACACAACTGAGAGGCCCCACTGCTGCTGTCAACTTGCACGCTTGCCAGCCCACACCAGCAGAAACTCTAGGTCACAAGCCTCTCAAGGGACACAGCAGCCAAAAAAGTGCTCCACCCTTCCATGACCCAGGATGGCACAGGGGCCTCTCCACCACAGAAGTGTCTAACCTTCCGTGTTCCTTGACAACCCCATACTGCTCACCTCTCGAGTGGCCTCAGGGCTCCTGCACACCAGGTTCTCGAGGGCCTGCAGGGCTGCCTCCCAACGCTCCATATCCTCAGATGATGTCAACACTGTACAGAACCCACACAGGCTCCTGTCAGAATCAGCCCTGAGCCTGAGCAGGAGAAACTGGGAAGCCCAGGATGTAAGGACAAGGACTGGCAGATGGCTCCAGGACAAGGTGAAGACAGGGCTCAGGCACCTTTAGAGATCTGCCATGTCATCCCAGTGAGGCCTACCTTCTATGCAATCCCGGATATACAGCGGTGCCTTACTGCTCTTCAACTCTTTGTCCCCTGACATGTCATAGGGGATAAATTCATCATCACTGTAACAAAAGAAGACAGGCACTGTCTTAGTGGAAGAAAGCTCAGCCTCCATGCCCCTTCAACTTGTCCATCCTCGAGAGCACATCCTAATAATGCCAGACACTGATATTCCCACAGCCCCAAGCTTAAGGGAACACTTTCTGGGGGTAGCAGAGAACAGTGTGTGAGCACATGGGCAGTGCAAAACCTCCTATTGTGCTGACTTGTCCAGAATCCCCTACCATGCAGGACATAAGAGCCACCCCTCAGTCACCATTTGAACTCAGAAGAGACCAGAAAAGCCCTGCCCTACCTGTCTAGGTCTGAGTCAGAGCCCTGTGGCCCAACTTTGGCAACACTGCCATTGGCAGACTCTACGCCACCATCCATGGTCTTTGCAAGCATCTCTGCAGCACCAGGTGCTGGTGATGAGCCTCTAAGAAATAAAAAGGAATAGAGCCTTCAGGAGTCACCCAGGTGAGCCTCTTGCTTATTACTTTCCAGAGATACCCCTATACCTCCACCCAGGTCTTCTCTAACTTTTGCCTGAGGGACTAGAATCCAGAATGACAAGGTACATAAGAGATGGGGATATGGAGATCCTTACTCTGCCTCTAAGGTGCTGCTGCCTGCAGTCCAGGGGGTGGCCAAGGCCAGCAACTCACGGCTCAGCTCATCATCTTCATACTAGAAGTACAATCACTGGAATGAGTGACACTTGGAAGCTAACAGCTGCCACTTCATCACTGACAGAAGCTACAGCACCAGGTCCTCCTCTCCAACCAACCATATCTCATTCAGCAGCCTTCCCTGCAGCCAATCATCTTTGCTCTTTTAAAGTACCTTCAAATATTCACCTTGAGCTAAAGCCAGAAGGCAACTTGATCCTGAGGAAATAGGGATCCCCAAGGGCTGGACACCCATAAGGACTTCCCAGGAGCTCAAGAAATAGAAGAATGTCTACCAGCACATAAAAGGCCAGGCAAGTGAGGAACCTGTGCTGGATATGCCAAGATGGTACCTATACTACTCAGCGGTAAACCAACCTTAGAGCAATGGCTCACTTCATCCCACTTCCCTTGGATTCCTGTGTAGACAAAATCTGGAAAGGTATCCAGGGACTCTACTTTTGAGCACACATGCTCATGCTTTACCCTGACCCCACATGGTCCCACTACTACCCCTTAATCCCTAGCCCTCAGTGTGGCCAATATGGGAGGCACCTGGACACCAGGAAGCCCTCGGACTGCATGACAGCCAGAGTACCCCTGGGTTCTGCCACCCAAAGGGGACATCAATGAGGTGACCCTGCTCACCTGGAATTTGAGATGTGGCCCTTCACAGTGTATCCGGGAACTGACGACTTCTGCTACAATCATGCCCAGGCGGCGTACAGTGTGAAGACTGCTGTCAAGGTGGCACTTCACACCTGCCATCATGCTGGCCAGCAATTCTAGAAGCACCAGACATACATCCTAAGGGCTCCTTGGGGTGCCCAGGAGAGGGGTATGTTCACACAGCCTACTCACCATCCCGGCTGTCCCGCAGCTCTGGCTCCCCTACGTGCGCTAGGCAGACAAGGATGGCTGCACTGAGGTAGTGCTGCTGTGCCAAGGGTGCATGTCGGACAGCACTACTGCTGCCCCACGTCTCCAGCAGTTCTTTCAGTGCCTGCAGGCAGCATAGCCCACTTGGTCAGGCAGCAGTTTTGCCATAACCCAGACCATCCTCATCAGTACCCAGGCCAACCCATCCAAGACTCCTGCTCATCCTTTCCACATGGACAGCATAGGCACCAGAAAGACAGATACCACTCACCTGTATAAGGAGCGGCCGCCGCTGGCTGTCCAAGGCCAAATACCCCAGCAGGCTCTGCAGCATGGATGTCTACAATAAAAGCTGGCATCCTGTCTACCAGATGGAGATGGCCATCTGGCCAGATGCCACTAGCACAGGAACTTTCAGAGGTCCATAAGCCCAGGATGACAAACAGGGCTGGTCCAAGGGCAGGGAACAGGGAGTGCAGAGGCAACCCTTTACGTCCCAGTAAGAGGGACCCACCAGGAAGCTCCTCTCTTCCACAAAACTGGAAGCATAAGGTTCTCAGGGGCTCCACTTCTGCACTGATCAGTTCATGCACTTAACTTTTCTAAAGAAATTTTCCATTTCCTCCAAGTTTGAAATCTGACTGCCATTTAGTTTTGTACTATCAGATTTCCTGGCTTTCGCTCAGGGTGGAGGTCATCCTCTGCACTGTAGGTTTGTGCTCCTCGGCCACTTTTGCACTACACCTCTTGCGTACAGTTCCTATCCCCTACAAACCTCAATGCCAGCACAGCCAGCCTGGCATCAGCTTCTATTTTTCTCTGAGTTTCTTCCTTTTGGTAAAACTCCAAGATGTTATTCTCAACTCACATTTCTCTTTACCTTTCCCTTCTTTATTCAAACAGTACACAAGGTGATAAATTTCTCTCCTCATCCCCACATTAGCTGATTCCACATGCTTTTCTGCACAGTTACTTTATTACATTCAGTTCTAGGTTCTGCCATTTTTAATGTGCTCTTACTTGGTCCCTGAATGACTGCATTTAACAGTAATGTTATAATTACTAAATTATTACTTTTTACTACTGATTTCTAATTTAACAGCCTTGTCAAAAAATGACCACTGGATACTCCCTCTGGTACCTGCAGTTCTTGTTTTGCAGCATTGTCCCATTGATTTGCTTACATTCTGACAGTGAACTGTGAGGTTCAGGGGCCTACACAACCATGACTGTTCTCTCAGGAGGCTATGAGATGTCTCTGGCTCACCTGAAGCTACATTGTCCACTTGTCCCTTGAACAAGGACTGAGAGTGCTTAAGTTCAGTTAAGCAACTTCTACCTACTCCTGTGCAGCTACCTGCTAGGCTCTCAAATTCCCAGGGCTCTCCAGGCTTCTATCCCAGGTTCATTGCCTTGCTCCCAGGTGAGAGTCAGTTACATTTCCAAATTGGCCACTACACCTTTGATCTCCACACAACGGCCACAGTGAGTCTTGCTAACATGGCTCAGTCTGGTCACCTTTGCTCAGAACCTCTAGCTGCCTACCTCAACCCAATCTATCCTGCTCTTACCACAAGTCCTGCTCTCCTGCTCATGCCACCAAGGGTCTACTGCCACCTCAGGCCAGCTGGCTTTCTTCCCAGCAACCATAGTACTCAGAGGACTACACCCACTCTTGATCACACCCCTGCTCAGGACTTGTCTCATCAGAAAGGTCTCTGTAGAATCCTGCAGTAATTGCTGGCCTATTGGGCCTTGTCAGCGTAAGATACACCATACTGTGTATTAATAGGTGGCATATAGTATCTGCCTCCCTGCTTGTAATATGAACTCCATGAGGAAGGACCATGGTTCTTCAGCACCTAGCTGAACACTCAGCACCCACAAAAGACCTTGGCACACAGTGAGTATCTGTCAAACATTTGTTGAATTAAAAAAAGCAAGCTATAAGAATGCAGTAGGGCCATGCCACCCTTCGCCACTCTGCAGCCTGCAATTTTCTGCTACTGGCTCTCCCAGGCTCTGATCTGCTGTCCATGCTCCAGTCAGAGACAGCTCCAGGCCCCAGGAACACAGCAATCATGTCTGTGAGATTGTACAAACACAGACCAACAGCCTCCATGCCAGGACATGTTTACCCCCTCACAAACAGAATGCAGTCAGTAAAGGGATCCTCTTGGGTGGTCAGGACGATGGAAGGACTTAGGAAGTTCTCGCCTGGTACCCAGGCCATAACAGGGACATGCCTAACACTTCAATGACATTTCCCACTCAATTGCTCTAACTGAACTCTGGTTTTTTGTTTCCTTGTGGCTGGGGGTGGAGTGCAGGACCTTGTACCTGCTGACCCTGAATGTTTTCTTTGAGCTACACCCACAGCCCCTCTAACTCTCTTTTCACAATGGTTCTTCCTTTGCTAGGCAGCCTGCAACCCATGCTTTTATCACACTCACTGTGTGTTGGTACTTCAAGAACAGAAGCTTCTGGGTCATCACAAACTGGGCTTTCTTGCTCTTTACCACCAGGTTTCCCAGTAAACGCGACAGAACTTCTGGCCTGCAGAAGCAAGATCAGGAGGGGACAGGGTTGCAAGGTGGCTATGGATATGGAGGTAGAGGTGCTGGGAAAAACATGCACACAACATTCACAGGCCCAAGTTGTGCCACCTGCTTGCTGTAGACCTTTAGGCAAGCCCCTTGACAACCTGAGCAGATTCTCAGCCCTTCTTCCCAGGGAGAGCCCAAACCCTACACTGAGCTAAGCACATTAACACAGGATAACAACTCCACCATGAACAACCAAGTCTAAGGTCACATGCTTCACCCAGAACAGGGCTCAGAACTTTGCTGTAAAGGGTCAGAGAGTACCTGCTTTAGGCTGATACACCAGTCCCTGGAAACTATTCAACTTGTAATCATGGCTGAGAACAGCCCTAGACTGATATATAAATGAATTAGCATGGTTGGCAGCCATGGCAGAATCTGCCTCCCAACTCTGATCCTGCTACTTACCCTGGAGCAGCCACCACAAGTCCTGTCAGCACGGCCTCCATGGTACGATCAGGTACTTGCTCCATCAGGCGCCAGCAGACCCGCTGCCACAGGCAGCTCTCCTGGGTGAGCACTGTCAGCCGGGGCACCAACACACCCAAGATCTCTTCTGAGGGGACACACAAGAGACCTGAGCCTCAGGAACCGATAATGTATAAAGCACTATGGACTCACTATTGGCAGAGTCAAGGCCCAGTGGCAACACTAGTAGATCCAGGACCAGGTCCAAGAGAGGGGACCCCACTAAAGGTTGGAATCAGCTTTTCCTGCCACTGCTATGGAACATGCAGCAACAAAGGGGACCTTGCAGGAGGGATCAGTGGAAAGGTCAGCAGGCGCTGTACTCTTCCTAAAACAAGCAGTACTCACTCTGTCTCCCCTGGATACAGATCTTCCCCAGGACCTGAGACAGGAAGGAAACGGAGCAGTCCAAACCACCTGTGACAGAAGATAAAACTGACTGTACAGCTGGGCATGGTGGCACATGCCTATAATCCCAGCACTCAGGAGGCTGAGGCAGGAGAACTGCTCTGAGTTTAAGGTCAGCCTGAACTACAAAGTGAGTTGAAGTTAAAGCCAGCCTGAACTGCATAGCAAGACACTGTCTCAAAAAGACAAAAAAAAAAAAAAAAAAAAAAAAAGACCCACTGTACAGCTGGTCATTGGGAAAGATACAGGGAATACCTGCCTTGGCGGGGAAAAGTGTTTGGGGGCCAAATCTGAATGTGGAAACACCAGTTGACTCTGAATGATATATCAGTACAAAGCAGTCTCTTCCCAATCAAAATCAAAATGGGATTGTTTAATATGAAAAGCCAATGATGATTCAAGAATCTCACACATATCTGCTTAATGGGACAAGCTTGGTGCTATCAAAGACATGGAGGCATTGAGAGGGGTCCCAGCCAAGGGGCTGGCTATGTGGGGCAATACTGGGCCGTGGGCCAAGTACTGGGTGTTGGAGGGACCCAGGGCACATGTGACCTAAGGATGGGTACTTAAAAATTGCAAAAACCAAGTCATGCATGGTAGCATATGCCTGTAATTCCAGCACTAGGGAAGCCAAGGCAGGAGAACTGCTATGAGTTCAAGACCAGTCTGGCTACATAGTAAGGTCAAGATGAGCCCAAACTACACGAGACACCTTCTAACACACACAGACACACAGACACACACACACACACACACACACACACACACACTCTGCAAAGACAGAATCTAGTATACTACTAGAAGGATAAGATGGAAGACTCCAGGTGGCACACACATACTTTGCTGTAAAGGGTCAGAGGGTACCTGCTTTAGGCTGAGACACCAGTCCCTGGCAACTATACAACTTGTAATCATGGCTGAGAACAGCCCTAGACTGATATATAAATGAATTAGCATGGTTGGCAGCCATGGCAGAATTCATACTCAGAACTTCCATGAGGCATCAGCTAGCCTAGAGCAGCAAACGAAGCCTATAACAAGGTGCAGAAAAGACTAGAGTGAGCTGGGATGGTTGCTATAGAGATCTCGGGAAGAAAGGTAGCATGGGGTGGGTAGAAACCATGAGGGACTAGAGGAGACCAGCTTTCTCCTAGGCCTGAGAAAAATAGGTCACAGGTTCCTTGGGGTATTGGGCCTGGGCACAAGAAAGCTGGTGAGCCTTGGTGGGACTGAATACTGAAACAGACTAAGGGCAGACAATCAAGGCTACAGGCCTAAGCTGGGGTGTGGCTCAGACTTGCAGGATACCAGAACAGGTGCAAGAGGAAAGTACTGCAGGAAGAGACAAAGACTAGCCCACTACCCTGCTGGTTTTTAGCTAAAGGCCACTGCCTCATAGAATTCACAATGCTCCAGATATCCTCTCTCTACTCTCTTTTTGGGTGTTTTTGTTTGTTTGTATTAGGGATCAAACTCACAACCTGTGCTTGCAAGGCAGGTGCTTATGCTGCTAAGCTAAATCTCCAGTCAGCTGAAACACACAGCTATAAAAGCCACCCTTATGATGTCTAGGACAGAGAGCTCACCTCAAACACCACATAGGGCTAGACCTATCAATCTGTAAGCAACAGGCAGTTCCCACAGAATTCCACCCACATGCACTGTACCCCAAGTGAGCCAAGAGCATCTGACTCCAGACCCAAAGACCCTTGACTTCCTCTGTCTCAACAATGTGAGCACCCAAAACATTGTCACCAAAGACACACAAGACAACTCCAAATCAATAGAGGAATTAAACATCACCAATGACAATGAGCCCTTTGTGCAGGGTACCCCAGCACAAAGGACTCTCCTGCTTCAACTGAGTGTTCAGCAGGGAGTGACTTGGCCCTATCTTGATGATTCTGCCCAACGTCCAACCAAGAACATCCAGAATCTATGGCCAGCCAACTCCCAGAGTCAAAAGCCAAAACCAGGATAAAACTTAAACACATAGGTTGCTATTGTCTGAAAGAGTGGATGTCACACCTAACCTGTGTGATATCACTCCAAAGTGCTCAGAGATCATGAGATTTTTCACTAGAATGGGAGAGGACAAAGAGGGGGTGATAGCCTGAGAAGAGGTACACTGAGGCAGGAGCACCTGCTCACCTCGTAGAGCATCCACGATGCCTTGTAGTACCCGAACCACTTCCTCGCCAAGCAAACGAAAATAGTTTTGGGGGAAGAACAGGGCCAGGTTGTCCTGCTGCAGGCAGTTGCCCAAGTGATCAGGCAAGCCCACCACCTTGTTGAGCAGTGTCTCCTGCAACAGGGGGAAGCCGGGCTTCTTCTGTGGCCGACACTGCTCCTCCATTAAAGCTGCCATCCTGCTCTGGCTCAGAAAATTTGCCAGGAGCTGTGCCATCTTCATCAGACAGAAGCTAGGGCTGAACAATAGCAAGGATATTGAGAGGAATCCTGGAGCCCCTTCTACCTCTGCACTTCCTTCTAGCCACAAGCAATTCTCACAGCCCGTTATTAAACAGACTGACCCAACAACTTTATTATCCTTCACGTCCTAACACATAAATTGAAGGAAAATACTTTGATTTCCACTCCTGAATAACCATTTACAAGTGGTAATGTGAGTGACAATGGGTCCTGCACAACTCCCCCAGCTCATAGTCACACTGGAATAGCCAACTCCTGCTTATCTATGCTAATGTTAATGCAGTGCTTGCTTTTTAGCACAGTAACCTCTAAAATCCCAGCTTCTCAAAGAAACAGCATTCTTCAAAGCATTGTCAAATAATCTCATGTGAAATCTGGGATCTGCCTGGAACTAGAATTCCATGGCAGTCACATGTCCCACAGCCCCAGCTTCTCTCGAAGGCCCAAAATGTCTCAAGATCCCCTTAAGAACTGGCAACAGCACCTAGGGAGTACTACTGCAGGGAGGGGAGCCACAGAGCAAGGGCCTTCCTAAGAGTTGCAGAGGACACACCCACTCTTAGTTGTCAGCTGTGTAAAAGTTCTGTTCTCTCCTACACACAGAATTTAGAGACCCGTTGTTCACAACACTCTGACCATTCCATGCTTCCCATGTCACGAACAACCCCATAACCAGACCAGCCCTGCTCACCCAACAGTGCCCTCAAAAGCCTCCATTAGTACTAGGAAGGCTTGGTCAGCTGGGCCCTTCAGAAAAAAGCTGTCCCAGAGCTCCTCCAACTGGCCATCAGGCGACAGCTCCAGCCAGACTGGGCTCAGCTTGTTGACCAGACATCTGAGAAAAGCAGAGAAGTGAACAGTTGCAAATTCCTCCTGTTCCTCGGGGAGTGCTGGATCCTCTGTTTCTCCCAAATACCGCTTCAGGAATCCAAGAGTGGAAAGAATGAGGTCAATATCCTCGGAAGACGAGAGGGTATGAATGGCTTCTCTTACGGTCAGGCGAACAGCAGACAGCACAGGGTCCATTCTGTGGCAGGCCTGAGAGTCAAAGGAAAGAATGCATGAGAAGATCAAGATGCTTAGTCAGTCGCTCGTGGTGTGGGCGTCGAGGTCTTTCTCCAGCCTTCTTGGAAACCCGTCCGTGGCCCCGACCGCGCTTCTCTAGTCTCATTCATTCCTCCCTCCTTCCGGGGTCCGACTCGCGTCCACTCCTATAGGTGACCTCCAGGCAAGCAGGACGTGTCCACGCTGCCCAGAGGCCACTTCCATCGACCCAGAGGGTGCCCCAGGCCAGCGGGGAGCGGGGAGCGGGGAGCGGGAGCAGGGTCGGGAGACAACCTGCGATGCAAGTGCTGGACGCCCAGGGGATCCCGGCCGTAAGCCGTCTGACTGAGCTCAACTCAGCCTGTATCCAGAGCCGGAGCAGACGTACCCGCCACCAGCTTAATTACGCGCGCCGCCGATTCGCCACCGCTGATTCGTGTAGGCGCCCCAGCTCCGGTCTAGCTCGGTCCCAGCCTATGGAAATCTGCGAGCGCCAGTCCCCACGTGCAGGTGGAGCTGCCGCAGAATTTTCGAGCCTAGGGAGCCATTCCCGCCGGCCCTCAGCTACGAATCTGCGAGGGTGCAGGCGGCCGCATCTGCGGCTGCGCGGGACGGGATGGACGGGGAGGAGCTAATACGAGAAGTCAGAGGGTTTGGTATGGGCGGGCTCTACCGGGCCCTTGGTGGGTAGGAGTGTGGTTAGAGTTTTGCTTTGGGCTGGGTGTTAAGGGTAGCGAGGGTTTTGCGCCTCGGGTTGTGGGGGCCAGTGGGGGCGTGGTCGGAGGATTCACGTAGCCAAGTTTTTGGGGAATGTGGTGAGTGAAGCCTTGGCCGTCCTGTCTTGAGGGGGGGTGGGGTTCGGCTTCCCAAAAGGCGGCTGTTTGGATCCAGCCCGCGGCCCTCGCCTGCTGTCTGCTAAGCGCCCTTCACAAGAGGTCTGCACCACCTTCCCCAACGTTTACGCACGTTGCAAGTTCGCTTGGCTCCTCGGGGCGAAGACCAGCTCTAAAGTGGGAGCTGGGAAAGAGTTAAGACAGACGAGGAGCCACGGAGCTAAACTCAAATATTAGCGAATGAGGTGGGCAAAGGAAGTCGGGCGAGGGAGGACCGTGTCCTGGGCTCTGTAAACAATCCGAAATGGAACCTCAGGAATCTGTGCCTGAGCTGCACGTGCGGAGGTCCAGGGCTCGGTGGCCCCTGGGACCTATGGCTGCTCCTCTGAAGAGTGCGATATAAACCATACTGTGGCGGAAAGTTCGGATGGCCGTCGTGGACAGTGGATGGGCTTCACTTTTGGACAAATAAAGTACAGATACCGTGCTTCAGAAGGCAAATCAGGCAGCTGAAGAGAAGTGGATAGGGCATGGTGGTGTCTGCCTGTAATCCCAGTCCTGTGGGTAGGTTTAGGAAGGAGGATCGCAAATTTGAACCCATCCAGGGCAATTCGGCTATTTAATGAGACCATGTATGAAAAAACGTGTAGAGCCAGGTGTGGTGGCCCACCTCCTATAATCCCAGCACTCGGGAGGCTGAGGCTGAAGGATCGTTGCAAATTCGAGACCAGCCTGGACTACAAAATGAGCTCATGGCCAGCCTGAAATGCATAGCGAGACCCTGTCTCAAAAAGACCAAAAAACAAAAATTTAAAAGGAGACCGTGGGTGGGATGTAACTCAGTGTAAAGGCCTGAAGAAACAGAGAAGACAGGTGATGTGTTATTTTAAGTGAAGGCACAGAATTGCTCAGAGCCCTACATGGAGATTTTTTTTCCTTCACCACTGGGGATGAACCCAGAGCATCCTAGGCATACACTTACAACTAGTGGCATTGTTAGGAAAAGAAACAGCTCAACAGGACAGGTTTATTTTAGAACAACCTGAGAGGGACCACTCACACTACACACCAGAGCAGTAACTTCCATAGGCTATGGGGCCTTTCATAGGGTCGAGGGTCACGGGGGTGGGGGCAAGTGTCAGGAGTCAGTGAAAGGGGGCTGTGGCTACCTGCCAAGGATGCTTGCCAGAGGACAAGAATCATGAACTTGCAGAGTGCAGTGGTATTGATACAGAGAAAAATGTAACTCCCAACCTGGTAGATGTCAGATATGCCAAATTTGTATCCTCTGAAATGGAAGGATGAAGGACAAAGGTTAAGAACAGGAAAGATTTAGCTGGGTATGGTGGTGCACACCTGTAATCCCAGCATTTGGGAGGCTGAGGCAGGAGGATTTTTGAAAATTTGAGACCAGCCTGGGCTATATACTGAGTTCCAGGTCAGTCTGAACTACATAGCGAGTGAGACTCTGTCTCAGCCTCCCCACAAAAAATAAATAAATAAATAGATAAAGACCAAGAAAGGTTTATTGAGAGATAGCTCCTGAGAGACAGGAAGGGTTCTAGAAGTGAGTTACCACTGAGCCCATTTGTCAGGAATAATTTATGGTGCAGTCACAAAGTAGGTCAAACTGGCACCAATCTATAGGATTACAAGTATATCCACTTAGCTAATATTGATCCAATAGAGAAGCAGTCACATAGCAAGGGTACATGGAAAGAACAGAGGCATTTTTGGAAAGAGATGGATCTAGGTGGTCTGTGAAGAAATCTGACCACTGACACTAAGCAAAGACCACTTTAAACTTACCCCTGCTATGCTTTTACACCTGTAGGAGGTGTAGAGTCATGGCTTGATGTAGTCCAGAATCACGACATAAGCCCAGTTGTGCCCTATAATTCCCAAACATTATTTGACCCTGCTCTTGACAAACAACACAGAACTAACTTCTTACATGTCTCAAACCCAGTCTAGTCACAACTCCTTTCTACTGTACTCCCCTCCCCACGGAAAGTCCCATTGTAGTTTTTTCCATCCACTGTTCTCCTTTATGCTTATGATCCTATAAAGACCTTGTAGCCTGTATAAGGGTCATTAGCCTGGTCTCTAGTGCCAGAGGGATCCCTCTCAGATTTGTTCTGAAATAAACCTGTGCTGTTGAGCTGATACTCTTGCTTCTTTTACTTTTTATCCTAACATTCTGGTCAACACCCGTGTGACTGATGTCTATATGGACTTTACTGGAACAGGTGACACCAATTATAGTATAATTCCAAGTTAGTGCCTATCCCTTAGGCAGACATACAGGCCTGGTCAGTCCATCCTTTATCTTTAGGCCTAGTCTTCAACAGATGCAACTCCAGCCACAATTATAACACCTTTTTATTTGTGTGTGACTTCCTTGATAGCCCGGTCCCTCTCTGAATAATAAATTCTATCTTAGATGCCTATAATATTGTGAGTAGCAGAATTGAATAATGATCTGAGTTGATATCAGTAGCAGGACTTGTCACCTTTCCCAGTGTACATCACATCTCAGGGTGTACACCACACCTCACCTTTGCTCTGCTGTAAAGCACAACTACCAGGATCATAAACTCTGGGCATCAGTAAGGAATTAAAGAGAGAAAGTTTAAAAATACAGGGACTGGGGATTTAGCTCAGTGGCGTAAGTGTCTGCCTGGCAAGCAGAGGTCATGAGTTCAATCCCTAGTACTGTAAAATAAATAAATAAATAAATAAATAAATAAATAAAGGTAGTTTATTTGGAAAAGGATGGAAAAAAGGGAACATAGCTACTCTGGAAGAGTAGGGAGCATCAGAATCGAATATCCATAGGTTTTGTCCTCAGCTCCTTCTTATTTAGGATTAGTGATTTATGCCTGCCCCTATATGGACAATTGGAAGTTTTCACCATCTGGTTGGCTCTCTAGCTGTGTTTGATCCTATGCTAGGTACCTCTGTCTACATTCTTTCTGGCTGGTTTGATTTCTTTCTTACCCTTTTGTGATGGAAAAGTGTGAGAAGCAGGGAGCCTCATAGAAGGGCAGCTTACAGTTAGAAATTTAAAAACACACAGCAGACTTCTCAGCACAAACGATAAAGTCAAGAAGAGCATGGAGTGAAGTATTCCAGATCCTAAAGCAAAATGATTTCCAACCAAGACTGATATATCCTGCAAAACTATCATTCAAAATAGATGGTGCAATACGATACTTCCATGACAAAGAACAGCTGAAGAACTTCATGAACACCAAACCAAACCTGCAAAAAATATTGAAAGACAGTTTAGATACACAAAGGAAAAAAGCACTAAGCAAAGCAAATAATTAAACAGAACAGAAAGATAAAGATGCAACAGCAGAGAGATAACATTCCTACAATTAACCAGCATTTAACAGTAATAACCATTAATGTAAATGGTCTCAATGCACCAATCAAAAGAAACAGACTAGCAGAATGGATCAAGAAACAAAATCCAACCATATGCTGTTTACAGGAAACCCATCTAACCCAGAAAGATACTCACAGACTGAAAGTCAAAGGATGGAAAACAATTCTTCATGCAGCAGGAATCCAAAAAAAGGCAGGAGTAGCCATTCTGTTTGCAGACAACGTGAACTTTAAACCAACAATGACCATAAAGGACAAAGAAGGTCACTACATACTCGTAAGGGGAAAACTCCAAGAGGAAGAGATAACTATCTTAAATATATACGCACCAAACTCCAGAGCACCCAGTTATATAAAACAATTATTAACAGAAATGAAAACTCAAATTATCAGTAACACAATTGTAACAGGAGACCTTAATATACCACTGACACCAAGGGACAGATCAACCAGACAGAAAATGAGCAAAGAAATAACAGAACTGAATCACACCTGTGAACAAATGGGTTTGATAGACATATACAGAATGTTCCACCCAACAACATCAGAATACACATTCTTCTCAGCAGTACATGGATCATTTTCTAAAATAGACCATATATTAGCTCACAGAACATATTTAAGCAAATGCAAAAGAGTTGAAATCATCCCTTGCATATTATCGGATCATAGCGCTCTGAAATTAGAAATTAATGACAAAGGATACTGCAAAAATTCCGCAAACACATGGAAACTAAATAACACACTCTTGAGTAATCAGTGGGTCACAGAAGAAATTAAAGAAGAAATTAAACAATACCTAAAAGAAAATGAAAATGCAGATACAACTTACTGGAATCTGTGGGATGCAATGAAAGCCGTTCTGAGAGGAAAATTTATTGCACTGAGTTCCCACATCAGGAAAGCAGAACGAATACAAATAAATAACTTGATGCTACACCTCAAACAGCTAGAAAAAGAAGAGCAAGTCAAGCCCAAAGCCAAAAGAAGAGAGGAAATTATAAAAATCAGAGCAGAAATCAATGCAATAGAGACTAAGAAAACAATCCAAAGAATCAACGAATCAAAGAGTTGGTTCTTTGAAAGAATAAATAAAATCGATAAGCCCCTAGCCAACCTTATTAAAAAAAGGAAAGAAAAAGCTCAAATTCATGCAATAAGAAATGAAAAAGGAGAAATCACTACAGACCCAATAGAAATACAGAGGATCATCAACACCTATTTCGAAAACCTCTACTCTCAAAAGTTTGATAACGCAGAAGAAATAGACAGATTCTTAGAAGCATATGAAGTACCAAAGCTAGATCAAGAGGATATAAAACTGTTGAATAACCCAATCTCTGCTA